TACGTTCCAACACGAGCCAACAAATCCGTGCCAATTCGAACCTCATACGTACAAAATCCGTTTCTTATCCGTGCCACCAAAACCCGTGCCGTTACGACGCCAAACCGTGCCACTACGGTCCAATTTTCTTATAGGGCTTGGTGGAGATATAATTTAGGTTGAGATATAACTTAGGTTGAGATACAATTGATGAAAATATAACTGAGGTTTGACTGTATTAATAATTGAAAATAAATTTTAAGAATTCATTTCAAATGAAAATTTATTAGTTTACAGTGTTTCTACAATGAACTAATTTATTGATTTATGAACTCGTAAATTTGTGTAATATAGTGTACATGAATTACAAGACAAAAATTAACCCAATGTAAGTTAAGACATGGTTATCTTTAGAATTAGGAATAGTTTGGGTTTATACTAAAATTTTACAAGGAATATATTTGTCTAACCCAAAAGTTTATTTCGTAAACATGGTTTTAAAATATCAACATATCCGTATAATACATGTAGTGTACAAATAGACATTGACATTTTAAAATTTGTTAATAATCTTTACTGTTATTAAAAATATTAAAATACAGTTAATTGATCGTCAAACCCATTGCTTTCATATTTATATATTTAGTTCTGTTATTGGATATATCTGCTTCTATAAAATCATCTTCAGGAACAAAAATGCACGAATATAAAGAATGCTTTATATCATATCCCTGACTTTCTTCAGATGTATCACTTAAATCATCATCACCACCTCCAAATTCACTACTTTCAGGTAATAATTCCTCTGAACAAACCTTATTTTCTATATTTAGTTTGATTTTTTTTCCCTGGTTTGTTACTTTATCACGATTTAAAAGAAATTCAAATGATAACGCCATTATTAAAGTTTTAGAACAATTTTCTGGAATATCTAGCGATATACTTCTTTCATTTGGTTCAATTTCTCGATGTTCCACTCTTAATACTGACAATTTTCGTGTATGTATACTAAAAAAGTCAATTTCATTTGGCAGTCCAATCAATATCCACATTATTTGTAATTCTACCGGATCTACTTTTCTGTTAAATATAAAGTTAAACTACATTATTTTTAATTTATTAAATTAAAATTGAGTATTTCTTTACTTACTCAATTTTTCCAAGATTTTCAACTATTGCTAGGAAACCGGTCTTGGTCGCAGATTGTATTTTTACAAAAACAGTATCTATAGCGTAATTTTGTTTTCCATTGATCCTAACAATCTTTGCAAAAATTAGATAGTTACTGCTATTTAAACGATCAGGAAAGCTTATGTGATAATATCTGGTATTCTTAATAATCTGCGTAATTCCTGTCATAAGTATTTTGTTCTCATTTTTTATTCCTAAAATTGATTCGATTTCACAACGAATTGATTTTTCGAAAATTTCATAGAGGGGAACCAATTTATCTTGACTTATAATTTGTAATGTTTTAAAATCTTGCTTAAAATACTTCTCTATCCATTTTTTAGCATTATCTTTTTTGACAGCTTCCCCAAGTAATGACATTAAATATGTTGCATTAAATCCATATTTGATTTTACATTTCTTAAATAAATCAAGAAGATTATCTAACCTTAATGGATCTGATTGTTGACCATAATAATCTGATGTCACTTGCAATGAATTATATGACATTTCATATAACTTTTCTCCAAGAATAACCTTTTGAGACAAGATGTATCCGTATAGATTAAATACTTTAATTAATTCTTGATATGGCCTTCGGGTTTTAACGCATTATTTATTGCTGTTTTTATCTCTTCGGTTGGTTGCATAGTCTCCCTTTCAAAATTCAATATGACCTTTTGACATTTAATTTCTAGACGAATATCATTAACAGGCATATTTTCACTCAGAAAGTCTGCTGATTGTGTCATGATATTAATTAATTTGGGTGGCAATGATTGAAAAAAATCAGAATCTATATTATTCTCTAATAAAAGCGTTCCAATCTTGCTCTTGGATCCTATTATTTTTACGTCACAATTTTCGATGATGCTTATATTTTTTTGATATAGTTTAAATGCAGGATTTGTCACAGCATGCATTATCTGCGAACTAATAATTAAACCATGATTTAATTTGAGAAAATTTATAATGTTTTCGTTAAAAATAAGTTGCGAAGATTTAACATTTTCAACAAGATCAATTGGTTTACTCATGAGTATTTTCGTGTTATCAGAAATCTTGCTATCCACAAGATCGGTAACCATCTTTGAAGGACCTTTAGTGATTTCTCGTATGTCAATGCGTTTGCTTGTGTACATATATTTTGGATGTTCTTGATTTACTTTTTCTTCTCGATTAATTTTATTTTCTATACTTTCACAAACAGCATTGATAGATTGCAAAGTTTTGTAATCTCCCTGGTCTCTCACAATAACATAACCAATACGACTACGAAGATCTTCTGCAATAACATTCAGAGATTTTACTATCGGATACTTCTTATGAATATTTAAAAAAAGAGGATTAATTGGTGGATCAGTATATTGGATACTTGCGAATATGGGTTTTGGGTGTACAAACACATCCCATCTTCCTCCGGTGAATGTACGACTATTTTCGCTTAACGGCAATGTATTGTAGGATCTATATATCCACTTTTGATTTGCTGCGCTAGTTACAATAAAATCTGAATTTTGGCTTGAGATAATAGCATAATTAATATCAAATATTAATGAGTTTTTGACCTCATCAGATCGGAGATCATAATGATAGCATTGTAATTGCGTAACACGATTATCGTTATTACGTTGACGGAAATGATAACTAATTACATCTTTAGATGTTCCGAAATTATAACCAGGATTATCCTTACATTTTAATATAGGGGTTCCAATAATGCAGTAATCTTTTGTCAATTTTGGATGTTCGATATGAATATCGCTATCATATTGAAATCTTTTAGTGCCAATATGGTCAATTGAGTTATCTAGAAGCTTTTCAGTTGGTAGACCTTCCTCGTAACCGATTATCATATAAGGAACGAAGAGGTTAAAAAGTTTTTTTGGATTACCAATACGTTGTATTACAACGTATGGACTCTCATCGTCCATATATTCGATCCTAATTACAAACATATTACGATATGGTTTAGTTTTGTTCAATACAATTACAGAGGCAAAGATCTTAACGTTTTTTAGTGTCAGAATGGTTTGCGGTTTTGGGAGAGGTCGAGATGTAATTCTCTGTCCTTTTGGCATATGGACAGATAAACTATTGTGATATAATAGTTTCATTCCGTAAACCTTCTTTATCCTTGAAACAAGCTGCTCTGGCAATAACATATGTAATGATGTTAAGTCCTTTTGACCAATAATCCTCCAATTTGTGAAATTTTTTAATTTTTCTAGCTCTCTGGTATCAGTTGATTCATCGCTTAATTGAAATTTCCCTCCAAGTATAATCTCTTTTGGCCAGAAAAAACCATATTCTCTACCTACTCTATGTAAAGATGCTTTTATACCTATATTTACATCTTCATTTAAGGCATCTTCAATAGCCTCAATGTATTCTTCGGTCGCTTCCAAATCTCCTGGTAATAATCTAATAGTGCCTTTTACACAACAAAGGAACCTTCCTTGATTATCTTCAGTTTCTTCAAGGGTTTGATGGGTTATAATCTTCATTAAATGCATATTCTTAATCCGGAATGCATTTTTACTTGCTTGAATAACTTCATTCCTTTCATTTCTTTTATACCCTTTAGTTAGATTAAGGTTCCTCACAATTTCAGGAAAACCGGGCTTTGTCAAGTCTTTTTCAATAAAGAATAAAAAAGACTTATCAAATTCATTTTCTCCATCTGTTGGAACTAAAATATTCTTTAATTTATATTCAGCTTCATTAACGAATGGTATTTTATATCCAAAAACATTCCGAAAATAAGAGTTTTGTCGACCAACTAATATTAAATCGTTTCGAGTTAAATACTCCCGTACCTTGTCTAATGACATTGATATATTAATCTCCTCTAAATTAAATTCATAAACAATCTTATTCTCGGCAATCACAACACCCCTCACACTAAGTTCATATGCAGACTTAAGAAATTGCATGTTTGAAATATACTTGCAAAATGGGAAAATTTAATACCAGATATGCTTTATAAAAACATTTTGACGATATCTACGTACTGTACGTTGTGGCGTTGTTCATCCCATGCTAGGTAGCTAGTAAAGTAGTACTATACGATTGTACAAATATGTACGGACGTACGAAAATTGAGCAAAATTTTAATAGTTAACATAGTAAAATTAATTGTATAAGCATTTGGCACAAGGATGTGACGAATCATTGGGTGTGCTAATAAGAATTATTTAATATAATTATTTAGCTAGTGCTTACTCGCCACATCGCTGATTCGTCACATCCTCATGCACTATGTACCCACGTACGATCAAAATTTAGAATAATATTATATGTTTGTCCGAATCTGTACTGCCGTACAGTACTACTTTACTGAATACCTGATATGAATGTCCTAGCATTACCAATATAAAAACAAATACACTGTACGCTCAAACTCTAACACTAATGTGGTATGTAGCGCAATCTTTCAAGTTGGTAACGATATAATGACCATACGTACTAAGACATCGAACTCTATGAAAGAGATTAATATCACAAGAGTAGGCAAACACAGTTACCATATGAATAGTTACCAAACAACGGATAAGTTCAATATAAGAACAAATTTAAATCATAAACGAAGAGAGCGCCATTATGCGCATCAAAAAATATTTAATTCAGATTTAATAAGCAAGATATATTCCGTAATATAATTCAAATAATTTTAACGAACTGAATATCCTGAATTTACAAACTTAAAAATAAAAATATTCGACGAAGCAAATTTTGGTGTGTGGTTAGTTCTAATTTTCCCAGCTTTAGCAGTGATTAAACCACTTTTACAAATCATTACAAACGCAAAGTATTTTTAATGTGCGTGTGAAACGACAAATTTCATAATAAATATTATGTTTATCTGCAGAAAATACATGCACAACGATTTTTTATATATAAAGTCTTGGAATTTTCAATCTAAATAGTAACATTTAAGCATTTTCTTTAAATAAATATCGAAATGAACTTTATATCTTCGATAGTTTCAATGCTTTCACAAAGAGAAATACACGTTTGTATTGATGGTAAAAAGTTGACACATAAATTTGATCCAGAAAATAAACTTGAAACAATTCGCAAAATAATTATTGATAGGAAAATCGCTAATGATGATTTTGTCTTCAAATGGCAAGATGGAAAGACAGTTAAGCGTCCCGATGAAGAAGAGTCTAATAATTTATCAAGGATTCTGAGACATAATAATATATTGTATATTTCTACTTTAAAAGAGAACTCTGAGATCATTGTTTGCATTGGTGAGGATAACCCTTTTAACTGGTGTTTACCTGAGCGAAGCCATCTTTCTGAAATCAGAAAAGCAAATGAAATTATCAAACCTGAAAGAAATTTTTATATGGGTTCGAACTGTTATTTTTTAGATCAAGATGGAATAAAAATACTAAAAGAACAAGAGAATGAAAAAATACTGTCGGAAATTTTAAAAATTGGGGAGAATGACAGAAATTACTTATATATTGATCGAAATTGTGAAGAACCTGATTGGATAAGATTGGTTGATAAATGCAAATGTGGATTCATTATTGAGGGAGATTCAGTAAAACAAGCACCAATTTTTGCATTTACTATCAAGAAAAAAAGAACAGAAGAAATAAAAGATAACAGTGGGCATTTTAAAAAAATGTTTAAATGCAAAAATAAATTTCAAGAATTATGTAATCGAAATTTTATTGCACTTGGAAATACTACTTCTATACTACCATGGGCTTCTATTTTTTTTGGACTTGATCGGGAAACTTTCACTAAAAAACTGAAATGTGATAAAACGGCAACAAAATATTTATACATTAAAAAAAGATGTGCAAGAATAAAAATTACCAAGGATGATATTGATTTAACTATTGAATTTGAAAATAAAGTTAGGGCAGCATTAAGGGAAGAGACACAAGAAAATAAAGTAGCGAGACTTAGAGAACTAACAAAACAATACGGATATTTTTATGCAAGTTCAATCTATTTTGGTGGCGTTGCTATTCAAAAAGATGAAGACATTGAACAAATTGGTATTTATTTTATTTATTTCCAAATTCGAAAAACAAGCATCATTACCTCCATTCTGTTTCTTTAACCTTAGATTGATGGGAATAACTTGAGCAAAGGCATCATTGCTAGTAATCAATTTCAAAACTAGATATTTTTATTTCTGCTAATATTAGCTGAAAAATATAAGATGAAGGGTATGGTGCTTATTTTTTGAATTTGTATTTTATTATATTATATTATATATACAGAGCCTCTACTGATACTGTCAAAACTGATAATGAATCTACCAAGTCTGTTTTTGTTATATATTTAATATTCATTATATTTTCAAATTTGATAACTTTCAATACTGATACAAGCCTGCCTATCAAACATATTGCTTTTGGGAGGTTCACCTATGTATATATTTTTTTTGGCTAAACGATTTAATATTCGTTAAACATTCTATTATTTTTAAAAGATGAAACTGAAAACGGTAATACAACAAATATGCAAAACTCGATTAATTCACTAAGCACTGAAACACATGGAATTATCTCTTCAGAAACGGGTGGTAGCATAAAAGCAGCAATAACTAATACCAACTCCAGTCTTAATGTTAAAGGTGGTGATGTTGCGGATTTTAATTTCGATGATCCCTCTAACTGGATAAATTCACTTAAGAATATTGATACTTGGGATATAATTGAATATGAAGAGGTCCATTCAATTTTTGACTTACTGGAGGATAATTTACGCAAGGAAGTTTTGGAAGCTTTAGGAAAGAGAATTCTAAAAGGTAGTAGTAGTTTATTATTTTTCAGTTTATAACCTAATATTATTGTTAAAGGTTTTATATTTTTAATCGAATCAGTAAATATTGAATCAATTAAATACCCTATGAATAACGATAAAAAACCATATGCACATCAGTTAGCTAAACAATTGGAAGATATTACTAATATTGAGGAATGTGAAATTTTTTCCACTGTCATGAAAAAGAAAAATCGGCACATGTTTTCTTCATATATATGTTATGATTCCCCTGATAAGCCAGTTATCCTTATTCAACGCATTCCAGGCAAAATGACTAAAAAAAAATATATAAATATCAAAATTGGGTGGATTGTTGTGGGATACCCGACTAAAACCTTTGATTTTGATTTATCAAATCAAGTTATTTTTAAAAGTGAAAAATATGATTTTAAAACAAAGAAACATATTGAACAAGTTGATCAAGATATACCAAATGTGGATCAATATGTATTGGCGACGTGTATTTTAGATGGAGTAGAAGAAACAAATACGAGTTTAGAATTATTAAATCCTCGTGATTCAAGATTAATAGTTGGAACTCATTTTTCTCATTCAAAAGACTCTGCATGTTCATTTTTTAGAAACTTGAATGAATCAGAGTCTAATGGTAATCCTGTTTTGAGATTATCCATTTGGTAATTAATATATTATTTATGTCAGGTTAATTTAAATCTTCTTATTGACTAATTTATCGTTATTTTATTGTAAAGTACTATTTATGTAAGACAAGGTTGTCAAGAAAGCTATTTTTATCAAGGTGAGGCTAAATGGAATAAGCTCAAAAGACTGATAAACAATGAAGGAGTCCTTTGCTCTGAAGTAAGAAAAAATAATGAGAGACTTGTATTTGCTTATATGCTTTTTGATGAATGCCAACCTGAATGTGATTACCATGGAGTTGTTAACATTGCTAACATCGATCCTGATTCTCCTGATCACATGTATCTATTATATAAATTATTGAAAGAAAAGTCTTTTGACAAAAATGAAATCTCATGTTTCTGCTTATCACCTAATAAAGAACATATTCATGATATAGTGAGTATATTTAATACAGATTTGCTTTTGTATAACAATAGTATACTCAACCTTTTTTTATATAAACAGGATGAAAACCACAAAAGAGCCTGTGAAATATATTATTTTATGTAGTAAATAATATTGCACATTATTCTATCAAAAGATCATTAATTGATTTTTATATATTATATTTTAAAGAAAATTATTATGTATTATCAATATAAAATAAAATACAGAATGCAGTATATGAGTATTATATATATATAAATAAACGCTGTAACTAGGGTTGATTCGATGAATAATACATGCAAATACTCTAGTCACTAAAACCAACTTAAATAACACTTATAAAATTTAACCTATATATAGACACAAAATCTTTATAAACACCAAATTCTTAAAACCAAAAGTGTGATTATAGAAAGATTTGAAAATTGAATATTCATAATTTGTCCACAAAATAATTATAAGTACGGTAACTACCAAGTACAACTTAAGTATTGACTAATTTGGTTTTTCACGTTATACTCCAAGATTTATTTTCACATGCGAATTTAAGGTGCAATTGTAAGATAAACTAATACAAGAAACAATAAGGTAAAGCAACCCGCCGGAGATGACTATGGTAATTTGGTCAATATCTGAGATATTATTATAAGAGATGAATTGTATAGGATGGTAGTACAGTATTATGTGCTTTCTATCTCACACATAAGTACTATAGCCAACCATACCCAAGCTACATCCTACTAATAACTTTAGCGAATTAATAAAGAGTCTTAAATGTCCGCGCTTATACCAAGCCTTTTGCACGTCTTGAATGTTTCCTGAACTATGAATCAGGTTTCAATATTAAGCGGAACGTAACGCGATCAAGAACATTCAAAAACAAACGTTCGTTTTGTCAAAAATTACTTATTTCTCAAAAATAAGCATAATGTAAAACTGTGAAATAACGTCCATGGGCGTTATTTCGATGCTCGGTCCGAATTAAGCTTAATTTAGGCCAAAATTCGTAATTTTATCCCTGTGCGTTATTTCGCGGTTTTACAGTAAGAAAACACTTTAAGTGCTCTAACAAAAGGTTTTCATTAGGCAATTTCAATTTATAAACTACTCCCTTCTAATTCCTAACATAAACGAGCTTTGAAGAATTTTGCTGCGTCACGAACCTGGCACACATTTCAACTGATGGTTCCGGAATTATAAAACTTATAAATTTTGAGTTCGTTATATTTAGATCGTTATATAAAGGTTCGTTATGTCCAGAGTAGACGGTAGTTATCATATATCAACAACAACGTTGTTGTTGAAAAAGGTATATCAAAATAGGTATATTACGCTTTGTGCGTGACGCTATGCAAGAATTAATAATCCGATATTTACTGTTTACATCCCGT